TGTCTGTGAGCAGGGCTTGAAGTGAATAAAAATGGGTCAGAAAGCCATTCTGGACCTACTTCGGTGGATTATTATTTAGATTAGATTATTTCAGGAGAATCTAGAGGCTCCAAACGAAATGGGGGACCTGTTGTGCTAGTTATTGTAGAGAGACAGTAAGAATGGTCCCCGTCCTGAAGAAATCAGTTTACTGAAATTCTTTGCTTTCAAAAAAATTCAGATTTTCGCCCGTCTTCCTAAAACTGCACAAAGTTCTGAACCAATAGCTATAAGAGGTGTGAATCACCTACAAAATGTTGGTGTTGAAGCTTGAGGACAACTTGTAGACCAGCCCTCAGTGCAAATATATAACTTAAAATGTAGACAGACATAGGAACGTTGCATAGCACTGTACCTAACCACCGCTATAGATGCAACTAGGTCCACAGAAGAATGCTTGTTGATCTAGCTACCTCCACGTGGGTAGGCGAATTACCTTCAGTGACAGGAAAAAACCCTTCTATATCTGTAGGAAACATCTACATAGCTGCAGCGCCCGTAGTGTAGACATGGCCTAAATTTTGTAGCTGATTATTTGAATGGCAATAGCCTGCTAATGTGCTTAACCGGATGTCTGAATAGCCACAGAAGTCAGAGATGGAAAAAGACCCCTTAGCCCACTGTATCCACCTCCCAGTGCCATGCAGAACTGTTCCTTACAGTCTTTCTCCAAGTGCTGTTCAGTCTAATTTGTAATGTCCTTAGCAATAGGGTTCGCATCCTTAGTGACCTTGGGTAAGTCACTTAGTTGCTCTGTCCCTCAGTTCCCCACCTGTAAAACGGGGATTGTACATGTCCCTCCTGAGGGGTGTTGGGGGTGATCAGTGTCGCCAGTTGTGCGGCACTCAGATAATAGTCACCACGGTTGGCTGAGAAAGGAGTTTGTAAGTACCTTAGAGTAAAGGCAAGTTGAGAACAGTCAGATACTTTCAGATCATGGTGATGCCATCCTCTGGCACCTTGGCAGGCTGTTAAAACTCTCCTCTCACTTTTCCAGCTGAAAATAACTTGTCTTCTTTCCCTAGTGGCCGTATTCCCCCGGCTGTCTTTAAATTGGATCTGCTATTTGTAATATTTACTAACTTTCCCCCAGAGACAGACTGAGCTTTGCTGACTGCGCTGTTGGGCTTAGAACAACATAGTGTAAACATACTAAAAATTAAGCTTGGGGGCAAATTGTGCCTTGGGATACATGCATGCAGGTCTTGTTGAAGTCCATGGAAGCTGCGCGCACACATCCCAAGAGAGAACTGACCTCTTAGTAGTTTTCACTTGCCTGCTTTCAAACCTTTTTCATAACCCAGAGGGGTAATAGACTATGCTCTTGATTTTGATACTCTATGGAAACTCTTGTATGTTCCCACTGAAGTGTAAGGGACTCTCTTTTATATGTGAGTAATAGGTTGAGTCATTTAGATTTCAAGTCACAGAATTGTCACTCGTCTTATGTGTCAAATAGTGTCATAACCCTAATGAGACATATTTCCCAGGTAACTCTTTGCTTGAAATATTTCTCCATTGAATAAGTAAAAAGATGATGCCATCATTCTCCCTCTTGCTCTTGTCCCCTCTCCTCCTTCCATAGATTGTATGTTACATTTACTTCACACAGGTCATTCCAATTGTCGTCAAGTTTGCTGTTCCATTCCAGTGGAAAATTTTATCCGCGCACGCGCTCTCTCTCTCTCTCATTCATTTTTAACTGTAACTAAATAAAAAATCAGAGGTGCTTTTCCACATTGTAATATAACTTCTCAAAGCCTGCTGCTGAGATCTGATTTCTGCCAATCTTGAGCACTGGTACTCCTGAGGGCATGGGGGAAGGAAAGAGGCTGGGGTTTTTAAGCTTCATGCTTGTCCTGCAAGGTTGCTGGATTATACGCGAGACGTCTGAAAGTAATTACATTATTGAATTTTTGTTTTTTGATTTTAAAATGTCTGAAGGAAATTAATCAAGAGTGTACAAAGGAAAAAAAATTAGGCTACGGGTTGCCCTGTGGTAATTGAGACCCCAGGGAGCCAGTCAAATGAGCTTTCACTTCTCCATCTACAGTCTTTATTTGCTTAGTGACTTTAAAATACATGGTTTCTTAAAGTATAATCCAAGCCACCATGCAGAGATCTTTGGAATACATTAACTGTTGGTGGTGCCAAACAACGTAGGGGGCATCTCTTTCCCTTAAAGCAAAGTCTTGCTGTAGTTGTTTAAAAGTACTGAAATGACATTTGGAATTCTAACTATATTTAAAATGACACGGAATGCAGTAAAATCAGAGGGCTAACATTCTTTGTCCAGCGATTAACAGCAGTAAGGTGGGGGGACACTTTGTTGCATCTCTACTTTCATTCATAGGATGCAATATTTAGTGGTCAAGAAGCCCTTATTAGGTTGTGTCATGACAATATGGGGTCACGAGAACAATCTTCAATTTCCTGTTTTTACTTGCAGCTGTTGGATGAAATGGCAACGTTTGTGTTCTTTGTTCTTACGGGGTACAAGTTCTGTCCGGCATCAGGTAACCCTTACCTACATCTCTCTTAGGACGATGAAGATGACTTGAAGGTGGAAGTTGTGTAAGTACCTTTTTTCCTTTTCCTCATTGGCTTTGACAACTTAGTGTTAGAAAGACAGGCTGCTTGCACTTTTCTTCTGAGGAGGTTTGTTCTCTCCTCTCTTCCCCCCCTCCACCCCCACCCCCCATATTTGAGATCAGCCTGTGTGTGTAAAAATACAGTTAGACTCAAATTCAGTAGCTATCTAAACCACTAAAGAAGCTTATGGTACACCTATGCACCTCAGAACTGGATATTATAGTAGTTTGCAACAAGTTAGTAGGATACTTAATGGTGCAAAAAATGACATGCGTACCGAAATCTTGCACTAAACGTTCAAATTTATGGACTCCTAAAGTTAGCAGCCTAAGGGCATGTCTACCCTGCAGGCTGAGGTGTGCTGCTCTTCTGATAGACATACTTACACTAGTTTTCCATGCATTATCATGGGTAAAAGTTGCCAGGTAGACATTGTGGTACACACTGAGGTGTAGACATGCCCTAATTTTGAGGGGCTGAGCAACTGAAGATCTATGAACTTCCCCTGGAGCTGAATGCTCAGCACATCTGAAAATCAAGCCCTAGATTAAAAAAGGTGATCTCTTCCCTTCCTCCTCCCTCCCCACACACACAATGTGTCTTTGGCCAAATGCTCCTCTGTTCTAAAACAGTGCTTTTAGATGTGCATGCTGTACCAGGATGAAGTATCAGCTTGGTTTATCGCTGTGGGTTCATAGCTGTATAAAGGTGACTGAAAAGGCTAATGGTTCTCACGTTCTATAAACTATAGCCCAAATTCATCCCTTCTGCTTCAAGATGTCTGATTTTTCCTGGACATCTCTCTAAAATCTTGCAGATGTAGCCACAGCCAATGGCAATGCTAGCCTTCCTTGTGTCCCCTGCATACTCCAGTAAACACGGGCAGGTCGGTGGTATGGCTACTAAATCTCCCCCTCATATTTTGTGCTTGTTTGAGACTACTTACTGTGCTGACAAGGCTTCAGTGCATCCAAAGCTGTACCTGATTCTCAAGTGGCTGCATTTGGACTTGGAGAGATGATGTTTTTGTATTTTGTTGTTGTTGTTATGAGAGTACAGCGTTGATCTTGATTAAGAGCCACTGTGGGACACTGCCCCACTGGTGTAACTTAACTGTGCTATTTTTGGCTGCTTACGAATGCTTACATAGGGAAAACATTCTTTGCCTGGGCTGAGCAGTGTTTGGGGGAATTAAACCCCTGGCTCCAGCTGTCATGTCACATCCCATTGATGGCAGTAGAATTAACTTGAGCCAATCCTTGGGAAATCTCTAAGATCAGAGATTGCAAGATCCAGATCAGCTCACCTTACTAGAGTATTATAGCGTATAACTAGTGCTATGTTCTTCCAGGGGTTCCTGTCTGCCCCTTGCCCTGAGAATTCCACACAGGCATACTTTCCCTGTGGCCATTAGGTGCTATTCTCTTCATCCACTGGAGAATTGCTATAGCATGTGATGTGTGACCCTTCCTCCCTTCCTTGAGGTTGAGCATGTGGCTTTGATAGTGCAGCTTTGAGCAAGTGTCTGGGCTGGGGAGCTGGACTTCTCCCTGCGACCCTTATTCCTCACCCCTAGCCAGAGTATTGTGCTCCCACTAGACTGCCAGGCCCAAAGGCAGTTGCAAATGAGATCAGAATTCTTCCTGTGAGAGTTGTAGTCTGGAATAATCACAAATAAAGCTGGATCTCAACCCAAGCTGCCTCCCCCCTCCAGTGTGACACTGTGACGCAGTAGGGAGCGGGGCGGATTGACCTGGGAACATTGTCTAGTTTTACTGGGACTGTCTGCATTGGGGATGGGATAGCAGGGGATGACTTTATTTGAGGGATGATACCTGAGCCAGAAGGGGGGTGGGGCCAGGTGACACCTTTGCCCGGGAAACTGGACAAAGGCTAGAGGAGGACCCAGGGGAAGGGGAGTGAGTTGGCTGGAGGGGGTTTCAGTTTTGGGCTGGCTGGGAAGATGCAGGGAACCCCAAGTCTGGGGTCTAAGCTCCTTGCCCCCCTGAGGGAACTGGCTGCGGGGTCCTGGTTGTACCTACAAGCCCTGCTTGGGACTGTGTTCCTGTCGTCTAATAAACCTTCTGTTTTACTGGCTGGCTGAGAGTCACAGTGAATCGCAGGAAGTGAGGGTGCAGCCCTCCCTGACTCCCCCACACTCCGTGACAGCCTCAGGGCTAAGGTTCAGAAATGCTTCTACTTTTCTGTAATGGAATATGCCATAAATTCATCAAGTTGAAAAGTACTGAATGTAATTTTAATCGGCACAAACTCAGTGGCCTTTAATTTAGTGCTGCATATTATCCTGCTCTGAATTATTTCTCATAAATTGGGTGCGGGTCTGGGGTGGGGAGGTTAGCAAGGAATGCTTTGATATATTGGGAATGAGGGGAAAGGGAAGGAGCAGGGATAGTGAAGTACAGTTTCTATAGATGCTGGATTCCATCATGAAAGTCTCAAGGTTGTCACTAACCTTAGATCTGTCCCAGTCCATCTAAGTGAAGGACAGAATCTGGTCCTTTCCAAGAGGCTTGTACAATAGAGTGGTCTCCCTAAAGGGACAGCAGCTTCCATCACCCATGTCTGTATTTTATTTTATTTTTTACCTGCTCTTTGTAACAGAGTAATCCCTAATCTGACTGAGATCTGAGAAATAATTTCTCCTTGTGATTTGTTCTCTGCATTTGACGGGTCATGTACCCCCACTTTCCCATGTATATCAGTTTCTCTTGTTTGACCGTCCTTCAGGCCACATGAGTTTAAAACCTTTTTCAATTATTTAAAAGAAACAACAACACAACACTACCAAAATTGGCAGGAAGATTTAGGGGCAGGTGTGAGACTTGAAACCACTACTTAAATTGCTCTTTGAAACTGACTAGATTGCATCCCTTCAAGGGTAGGCTGTTCAAAGTGGTCAAAACTTCAGTGGAAAAATGTGACTAGCTTGTCCCGTGTTAAACCGCAATTCTGGCTTATGCTTTTTCAATAGCTTCATCCTATAAACTGGTCCATTTCATAGCTTTTGGCTATTGTATAAATGAAATTGTTCCCCAGCTGGAAGGAGCAGGGAGGAGAGACATAAAGTCAAGAGTACAATCAGGCCTGGTTTAACAGGAATAAAAGCAACTGGGTGACTAGATATAGGTAAAGTGGGGATATGGACAAGTTCTAATTAGGCTGGTCTCCAGCATAACTAGACAATCTGGAGTCATTCCCCAACTGTCTCAGTGACTTAAACAAGTTGAATACAACATTCAAGAAGTACCATCTTAGGTGCTTGCAGTGTTCACAGTCTAGTTGGAAGGGCCCGTAGGGATCAGTTCTGGTTCTGGTCAATCTCTTCGTCAATGATTTAGATAATGGCAGAGAGTACACTTATAAAGTTTGCAGACAATACCAAGCTGGGGGGGATTGCAAGTGCTTGGAGGATAGGATTAAAATTCAAAATGATCTGGACACACTGGAGAAATGCTCTGAAGTAAATAGGATGAAATTCAATAAGGACAAATGCAAAGTACTCCACTTAGGAAGAAATGATCAGTTGCACACACAGAAAATGGGAAATGACTGCCTAGGAAGGAGTACTTGGGTCATAGTGGATCATAAGCTAAATATGAGTCAACAGTGTAACTGTTACCCACCCACCCACCCACCCCCAAAAAAGCAAACATCATTCTGGGATGTATTAGCAGGAGTTGTTGTAAGCAAAATACAAGAAGTACTTCTTCCACTCTACTCTGTGCTGATAAGGTCTCAACTGGAATATTGTGTCCATTACTGGACACCACATTTCAGGAAAGATGTGGACAAATTGGAGAAAGTCCAGAGAAGAGCAACAAATACGATTAAAGGTCTAGAAAAAATATCTATGAAGGAGATTGAAAAAAAGTGTTTAGTCTGGAGAAGAGAAGACTGAGAGGGGACGTGATAAGTTTTCAGGTACATAAAAGGTTGTTAAAAGGAGGAGAGAGAAATTGTTCTCATTAACCCCTGAGGATAGGACAAGAAGCAATGGACCTAAATTGCAGCAAGAGAGGTTTAGGTTGCACATTAGGAAAAGCTTCCTGTCAGGGTAGTTAAGCATTGGAACAAAGTGCCTAGGGAGGTTGCGGAATCTCCATTATTACTGGCTTTTAAGAACAAGTTAGACAACACCTGTCAGGGATGGTCTAGCTATTGCGTAGTCCTGCCTTGAGTACAGGGGACAGGACTAGATGACCTCTCGAGGTCCCTTCCGGTCCTACACGTCTATGATTCTAGGAGACTGTAGCCAGGAAAAAAAATGAAAACCAAAACCACATGGCTGCTGATGGGTGCTGGGATTTGTGAAGCTAGCACTGGGTGTGAGGAGGTTACCCGGGCTTGGTGAGGGCCAAAGGATAATTGGTTGTACAGATTCACAGTATATGTGCTATGTGTATGTGCTAATTATCTCTAGTGCTCCACTGCTGCTTATCTTCTCTCTTACCTTGTATTTTAAATCCAGTCTGGGCTGCCCAGGCATGCCCTTACTCCTCAAGTATCACCAAATGGTGAGGAAATAAAAGCCACTGTATTAAAGTAAAGGTTGTTTTGTAACCCTGTAAAGAGTATAGTGCGGAGTGTGTGTTTATAAGTAACAGAGTAGGTGTGGGCCGGTATGGATTACAGTAAACACACTGTATGAATTTAGCCACCATTAATTAAAATTCTGTGATTTTCCCAGGGTCTTTGAAAGTTTTTTTAACTATGCAGCACACACTGAGGTATGTGGGTTTCCTATTTTGTTTAGCAACACAGCTAGTATGTAGCTGTCACTTGGAGGAGATCAGGAAACTTGCAGAAGAAGCTCTCTTGGCTAGTGCCCATGGTAAGTTTTTTAAACTGTACGTCATAGTATCATAAGACTCCATTTTGCTTGCCAAGGCTGTGGTAACCAAGAGTGTCATGTTAGCTACGTGTCTTTCTTCATACTTTTTCAAATGTTTCTATTTAATAGA